ATAATATAATATACAGTAATATAATATAAAATAAGAATTATTTACCTAAACTTTACTTTCATTAAAACAAAAGGGCTGACGTGGCAGCAAAACTTAAAAAAAATTGAAGACAAATCACACATGGTAAGAATGATGTAATGGAGTCAGGGAGACTAAAAGGATGGAGGCTGATGAGGAAATGGGAGGCAGGAGAGTTTAATGGGACAGGGAACAGGTGAGAGTGGGTGGGGCATATGCAAGGAGCAGGAACTGAAAAGATGGAAAGTTCTGGGGAAAATGTACAGAGAAACTCAGAGTRACAGAACACAGAAAATAAACTAACATTTAAATACAAAAGGCCACCTTAAAATGACCAAAAAAACATAAATACTGACCAAAATAAATCAGAGTAAGCCTTTTGATTTATTCATAAAATCCAAATGTTTCCACAATATTTTGAACAACAAATCAACTCAGATAGTGTAAAGCCTGTAATTCCCTGCTGAATAACAGACAACAACCTTTCTTTGGAAGGCTTTAAAACATCCCATCCTGCGTCTCTTGAGCCTGTAATTTTAATTTCTTTGTGGAAGCAGACAGACACTTCCTGTCAAAAAAGATCACTCTGTCTTTATTCTCCCCTTTGCCAAAGAAAAAAAAAGAGGAAGGCAAACATCCTCCTCCCTCATTAACATGCAGATTTGACTTGTTCTCCTTTAATTGCGTGACCCACCTGGCCTGAAGTCTTTTCTTCCTGGAAACTAATGGCCAATTGAAGCTCTGGTGGGTTGTCATAACACAGACATGCCAACTGCAGCCATCGCAGAGATGTGAAATAAAAAAAAGAAATATAAATCTGGCTCTTATCTGCTGGGAATGGATTCATTAAAGAAGAAAAGTGCTTTTCTAGATGTTATTTTTGCCCTTCTGCTGACACTTTGACACCTGAGCCATTCTCATGAAGACATGAGGAAAGATAACCTGTGAGACAAAGCAGAAGTTCTGACTAATTAAAAAAGGCAAAACTGTTAAATAATTAAGAGGAAAGTTAATTCTTTAAAGGAGAAGCTTCATGTCGACGGCCCAGATGGGACATTTTTTCAAGTCTGCGAACACAATGTGACACTTGTAATTCAGTCTGGAGCTTTAATAGGAGGAAGATTACTTCTCCTCGGGCTGAAGGCGATCTGCTAACTGGACAAGTATCACACTAAAATGCAATTTGGCCCCCAGCGTGTCACAGTGGAGCATGAGATGTGGATCTCACAGCACAATGCTCGTGCACGGTTGGCTTGATGTGAATGAAAGATTCACAATTTTTTTCTTTTCTTCTTTTCGTGCACCAAGTTTATCCGCTTCCTCCGCAACACATGCCTGTGTGCTCATGTGGAATGACTCATTCATGCTCGTGGTCCATACCCCCCCCCCACCACACACACACACACACACACACAGGCTTATTCTCACCCAGCTCTCCATCCAGAATCTGCATCACTACAGAGGCTTTACCCTGACCTGAAACCGATGTGGTGGCCTGGAAACCTCGGCTCCTGCACCCTGAGGCTTCTTACCACCCCTGTARCACATTTCCCCTCCCACCCCACGCCTGTGACCATCAGTCTGCTCTCTTCAGTTTCGCTCTGGGAGGCCAACCTTTCAGCATTTCCAGCGATGTGCCTCGGAAATCTGTTTCCAGGGCAACCGGGGTACCAAATACTCTCCCAGCGGCTCATGGCTGGTGCGTCTTTTGTTTACACTTTTTTTTTCCTACAAGGATGTAGGCTGGTTTGAACTGACGTGGATAAAAGAGAGGTGGAGGGGAGAGGAAAAATATATACATTGCACGGTGCGTAAAAATACAGTCAAGGACGGAGTGGGAGTCAATGWTATCCACCCCCAGGGAGCAATAAATCAGTATTTCATCGGAATTGCATCCTTGAAACATCATGGATGTGAGTGAAGTCATCAGCTACACACAATCAATGGGAAGTCTTTCATCTAAAAACGAAAGAGGRCGAAAAATCCAAAAGAAAAGCGGTCTCAGTGCGCAGCTGCGCGCTTTGGGGAGTTTCCCCGTCAAGAGGCAGAAACCGACAAATCATCATGTGAAGAAAAAAAAACAAGAGTTTTGGTTGTCAACCTGGTGCTTACTTTTCTCTTTTATTAGATTTATTAAGACCCAACTCACGTCCACCACTTCCCCCCTTTTTTTTAAAGCCTTGCGCCTGCGCGTAAAGGCGAACCGGGAGCTGTCCAAGTGCTGAACTGAAGAAAAGGCGTTCCTCTCCCCGTTTTCTTAGACTGCACCCCCCTCCATCTCCACTCCTCCCAACACCCGCCACCTGAAAACGGTTCCCACTCCAGAAGTATAGCAGTACAGATCAACCACAGAAGGCGCGCGTATCTGAATCCGACGCCAAAAAGAAAAGAAAAAAAGGAAGAGAGAGAGAGAGAGAGAAGCTGCCCCGTCGTTGCGTTTATTATTATTTTTATTATCATTTTATTTTTGGAGAGTTTTATATCTTTAAACCACAACCAGGACCGATGTTTCCTCACACCTCCGCTCTGACTGTGTGAGTTTGGCGAAACTCAGCCATGATCCGTGGCTGCGCTGAGGAATGCCTCCCGTGTTGGTCAGGCTCGCTCAGGAAGGAAGCGGCGTCCCTGTTTGGATTACTTGTTTGACCAATGGAAACATATGGGAGAAATAGAAAAGTGAGCACATGGGGAAACCACCGGGAATGAATCACTCCTTCATTATGGTCCTGGCAGCTTTAGTCACGTATTTCATGGAGACAAACAACTTCAGGTGAGCTGAAACGCGTAAAGCTTTGGATCCTTAAGTTTGTTTTTCTTTACATGCTTAATTACMGAAACTATGAAATAAGCTCATTATTTCTGCTTTTCAAACTTAAAAAATGTGTCATTTTTTTGTAAAGTTACACTATAGAGTTACAATTTAATTGTAAATTTGGAATATTACAATGTTTACCTGCTTTTGTTTCGTTTGCTTCATAATTGATCCTGGTATTTACGCACGTGGGTTTAGACATTTTTTATTGCTTTTGTGCCATCTCAACAGTGTTCCTSTAGTGCCACTGTTAAAATTGGCAGCCTGCTGCTTTATCCCTGCAGGAATCTTGCATCATGAACAAAATTAATCCTGTCTTGAAGGAGATATCCACTAAATCCCATCCGATGGGCTGATGTGTGTGTGCGCGCATTAACTCATTTTTCAGGTTTCCATGTGCCATCACTCCCAGGCAGCTTGTGCTGCTGCTGCTGCTGCTAGGCGACAGATAAGGTTTTAACTCCTGCTTTCTGGGCTGTGACTTCTTTCTTTTCTGATCGAGTGTTTTTTTTTTCCCCCACCATGTGTGCATTTAGAGTCACGGATGCCAAGGAGCACGATTCCAGATCCTCCTCCAACATGTCTCCATCAGACTTTCTGGACTCACTCATGGGTCGCACGTCCGGCTATGATGCACGCATTAGACCCAATTTTAAAGGTTTGTTTGTGATCATTTTACTCTTAAGAAGAACACTGGCAAACACGCTTCACCTCCCACGTATTGCAAAAACACAAATAGCCCCAGAAGTGTGACTGTAAGTGCAAGCACGACCATTTTTTAATCACTTTTCCCCACTGTTGCCATGATACTGGGCTTCAAAAGCCTCTTGATGGCAACAATCAGGCACTTCAAWAACAGCAACAGTGGCTGGAATTTTAGTCTAACTTCCTCCTGGTGTTTTTACYTGCTTGGTTTTATCTGTTAAAACTGTTTGAGGAAGAATCCCCATRTTTGTTAAATATATTAGCTCAAAATCAGGACAGTGCTTGCAGAAGTCATCACAGTAAACAGAGATGCCATCATGACTGGCCCAAATGATGGATKGGGCCCCGGTGGTGTGGCTGCAGGGCAGCTACTGTTGTTGCTTTTATGCTGACRACACACGCAGATTCTGTCACCAGAGTGATGTAGAAAGGGGCAAAGGTCCACTCAGGTTGTGGGATGGGAGTGTTTGGGGTTAAGCGGCACCAGTAAATAAATTAAAAAAAACAAACAAAATAGAAACAAAGTTTATGATAAATTATTGTGATTCATTTGGGAGGAGAGGTAAATGTTAGAATGTGAAGATTGAGAAAAGACGTTAACAGCCTGGATGGGGAAAAGGGGATAAATGGGCTTCCAACACAATTTTAACATTTTTCCTGGTTCAAATTTTCTGATTTTTCAGTCAGATATGGGGGCTTTTTTCAGAGCTAAGTAGGAACAGTTCCTGCTGATTTTACAGTTTGGACAGTTGCCAGGCATTTTCCAAATACAGTAAAGAGCAGACTGTAATAATAAAARAGAAAAACAGATTAAGCATTTAATCACAGGATTTACATCTTTTTTAAAACAATTTTTATTATAAATAATGTTACCATTTAGAGTAATAAAAAATCTGATTAGTTTAACTGTAGATTAATTATTGCATATTATGCATTGATGTAGCATAAATTAAATCCTCTTCTCGTGCGTTTTATTTGATACTGACAGGATTTGGCAGGAAAAAACCCAGGGTGCAGGCAGGCTCCATGAATGTAACAAAAAGATTTATTAACTAACAAAAATGTACTGAAGGCAGCTCAAAACTTACCAGGTAGACGATGATCACAAGCAGGGGGAACAGAACACAATGAACCAACATCAGACTGAGACAAGACAGGACTTAAATACACTGACAAACTAATTGATGAACTGAAAACACCTGGTAAGAAACACGAGGGTGACAATCAGACTAATAAGGAKCAGCTGGGCAGATACACACTGGGGAACATAGAAACACAAGGAAAACCAAGGTGAAAAACTGACAAACCATGACAGATACATTGCTGCCGTTGGATGTAACCTTGAGTCTCCATCAAACATTGTAAAAAGCTCCCTCTCCACAGAGCACGCCACCCTCGAAACATTGTTTGAAAAAGTGCTGAAGTGGGAGTGTCTGAAACGGCAGGAGTTTGAGAGACAGAGGCTAATTTCAAGGTGTTTAGATAACGTATGATGTCAAGTTAAAATTATTTTCAATATACAGTTTTTTTTTACATCTGAAGGTAACATAGTTACTTGATTTTGGTACAGAATGGAACTATGTGCCTGGAATATATAATACCACCCTCCCCTGCCCCATCTCTCTTAACTTTTAGAAAGTCTCCCTTTTGAAACCTTTTTCTATACTCATCCAGACCTGGAAAACCCTGARGAATAAACTCCACACTTTTCTAAATTTACTAAGAACCCTGAATAAATTCTGTAAATTGCTGATGAAACATATTTGATCCTTAATCCTGCTCCAAGATACACTGTTAGATATAGACTTAAAAGCATTCTTCTGCTTTTACAGCCAGGAAACAAACACATCTGCCCCTAAGAGACCGCACTGTAAACAGTTAGTTTTGCTTGTGAACCTGCTACTTTGAAGAACGTCGAACAGCGTTTCCGAAGGCTGACCTAGATTTCCGTGCCTTTTTTTTTCTTCTTCTTTTTGTTGGCAGGAGATACAGCCCTATTTTTCTGCCTCTGCTGGAAAACTGTAGCAACCTGTAGACAAGCAGAGGCAAATATTAATACCAAGTCCCATGAAATATTGATGAAGAAAACACAGGGGAAGGGCAGTGGGAAGAGCTTACAACTTCACTTATCAGCTTGGGAAAAAAGATGTGCTGTGGCTCTAAAAGGCGTGTAAGTCTTGCAAGAAGAYTTTAGTTCTGTTTGGAGGAGGGAAAAAAACAAGCTCTACCCACTGGAGCATGCTGGGTACGTTTTACTCACAGTGTTGGAGAGGGGATGCTAATTTGACACTGACCTCAAAGTGAGTGGGACAGTTCAAGATCCTTTAAAGTGGGTTTCTGTAAAAATTTTATGAACAGTTATTATTTGTTGTAAGTTATTGAACAACCTCCATTTAGAGAAACAGGACCAAGACCAAAGTGAGCTGCTGATGCCTGATAACAGCTCCAGTTTCAAAAGTTTTACGAGGGTTTACGTGAAAGCTAATTTATAAACATTTACAGCAGCCGTCAGCCTTGAACTGAATGGTCATTCTTGCAGAAATACTTTGACATTTCTCCTGGAAGACTTGATCAGAAGTGTTGCTGCTGTTGCAACTGATACTTGTACGTAATCATAAAATCATTTATAGACTTTAAACAAATGCATATCAGCTTCTGGTATCCATGCCAAAGTTTTAAACTAAAACTATCTTTCTATGTTAAAAGATGACAGTATWGCTGTTTTAGTAAAATGTTGATAGTAACATTACACTGAAACTCACGTTAAACAATGAGATGTCACACAATCAATTAGGCCATGAAGTTTGAGTTGGGGATCACTGTCAGCTACTAAAAAAAATTTAAGCTCAATATTTCTAAAACTGACTGAATCATGTCCAATGTTGTGTATTCTAGAATAGATTAGTGGTGGCATCTATTTTGGATTATGTTGATTGTAAAAATTAAACAGTTGTAGATACAGTATATGTTGATATTGAACTTGCTGGAATTTTGTTATCTTGCTTTAGTTGTTTTGTATTCTTTCTTCTCCTGGAGGTTTATGTACTTTTTTGTTCTGGGCTATTTTATTTGAATGTAYAGCACTTTTGACAGGATTGTTGCTGTTTTTATTTATTTAAAGAGAGACTTTATTTAACTAAGTACAATACGATACGATGCGATACAATTTGATACAATACCTTATGATAAGGTAGAGTATGGTAAGGTACGATACAATCTGGTATATGATACAATATGATAAGATAGGATAAGGTACAGTAAGCTAAGGTACAGTACAAAATGGTTACAATATAATACAATACGATACAGTATGGTATTATTTCATGCAATATCTTATGATGAGGTAAGGTAATGATACAGTCTGGTATGGAATGATACGATTCGGTAAGGCACAATATGATATAGTACAATATGATACAATAAGGTAAGGTACAGTATGATACAGTATGGTATGGTATGGTATGGTATGGTATGGTATGGTATGGTATGGTATGGT